TGTAGGCCAGGCATATAGCAGATAGTCTGTAATATCTAATGAGTAAGTGAGCATGTACTGAACTGTGAGCTCCTTGGATGCAGGGCCAGTTGTATAAAGCCTCTTTCATCCTCTTTGCACAGAGACAAGTGCAGAGCTGTACCTTGGATAAATACTATCATAAGCAGGACAATTCATGCCATTCAGTTTTCCTCTCACTTATTGATCTTTTGCTTTGCTGCTGCTTCTTGAATCTTCCCATTCAAAGTTCCATTTTGAATGACGAATTCCATTTTGAGTCAGGATATCAGACATGGGAAGCAAAGTCCGTGAGTTTGTTCTCAGTCCTCATACTTTATGATTCTCCTGCCAGGAACTGAACGTCAGTCATGAGGGGAGACCTGATAGATTTATGTAAATCTAGAAAAAACACTCTGTAAATATAAAGAAAATTTATGACCAGTTGGTATAGCCAGGTGCCTTCACATATAAAGGAAGGTACATTGATGTGACTTCACTCAAAGTTGAAAGTCAGTGTATAAACAAAGGGACCATGAAGTTCTATTTTGGCTCCTCCATTGATACTGTTTAATCCTTTGACATAAACTCACAGGTGAAGGGAGCGCAGTCAGTTAGGAAAACATTCAGCTACAAGTGTTACCAACTACGTGGCCTAAACAGGGATTTATTTTTCCCACTTAAGAAATCTGGAGATGGGATGATGCAGGGAATAGGAGATTGGGAGAATAATCGGGCTAGAAAAACCACAGACACAAGTGAAGTGTCTGAATAATCGGAAAAACCACAGACACAAGTGAAATTGTTGAAAACAAAGTGAAGAGGCACTGAACTGACACTGGGCTGAGTTGAATGTTGATGTGCATCAGGGAGTTTGGAAGGATGTCCTAGAATGGCACATTTGAATTCAGTTTTAAGAACATTTTTGGACATTGACAGGGGGTCATTCTACTTAAATGACATGGGATAAATAAAACAAGAACGTGCCATCATGAGGGCACCATAGGATTATCTGAATGGCGGTCACAGCTGCCATGTGAGGTTGCACATCGTGGTATGGAAGAAACCCCCCTGGGGTTTTATAGGTGACCCGCAGAACAAGGCAGTGGCCCTGTCTGGGAGAGATCCAAGCAGGTACATCCTTGGAACAGGTTGACAGGCTGTCTCTGCCCAGCCTTCCAGCCAAGGCCTGCTGTCACTGCACACAGCAGGCTGTGCCTCCCACAACTTGGCCCTTTCATTGTAATCTAGTTGCCTATTTACTTATCTGAATTCCCTTTTAGGTTTTAGTTCTTTGAGTGCAGCGACATCAGAGGCTTTGTCTTGTTTGTTAATATATTTTTGGTGTTTAGCTTAAGAAGCACTCACTAATATTGGGTGTTTGAATGGTTAGATGGACAGTTAAACCAGCAGGTGATAGAGAATTACTGAAAGGGAAGAATTTAAATGTGTAACAGTTTACATATGAAATGATAGGATAAGGGAAACCATCTTAGGCACTTGAGC